AGATTTTTTAAGTCCCTCAGTTCAGAAGACACTTTAAACACAGTTATGGAAGAATTGCCTCCACAAAGCAGGCAACCTTAATGATATTGACGGACCACATCTTTTAGGACTTCATTCGCTCATATAGCAAGACTCAAAATGAAAAGAATGGTTACAAACATTCACCAATAATCGAAACACAGAATTTACAAAGTATGAATCTAGGGAAACCGAAAGTACTTAAAAAATCAAATGGAATGCATAATGATCAGTATCCTAGGCGTTGGTGTCAATGTGCCACTGAGGTGACTATGACTCATGGCAGCCTTATGACACTGGATCTCAACCTGTGTCATCCTCACCATTGCTGACAGACGTGAGCCCCCTGTTACAGTCAGTGGGTCAATCCCTCTTGTTGAGGCTCTTCCTCTCTTACGCCCACCTTCTACCCTTCCAGGCATGACGTCCCTCTCCAAGGACCGGCCCCTCCTAACAGGATCTCGAAAGTACGTGAGATGAAACTTCACCATCACTGCTTCTAGGGAGCCCCTGGTTTCATCTTCTATAAAGCACTAGTGGACTGAAACGGACTGGCATTGGCTATATATTGACGTGCACAAGTGCATGGTCTTCCACACCGGGAATGACAAACTGAAAAGGAACGGGATGGCATTAATCCTCAAAAAGGAAGTTTCTAGACTTATCTTCAAGCACAAGGCTGTCAGTGATAGGATCACATCCGTACACACACAAGGAGGATCAGTTAATAAATTTGTTAACTTTATATACAGACTAAAATATCAAAAATGAAGAAACTTCAAATTTCTAGCAACTACTGCAGACTGAAATGAATCAAAACATGTAATCAACATGCACTGATTACTATCGGTTACTGAAATGAAAGAGTTAAAAACAATGTGTTCTCTCTTTCTGTCATCATGTCAAAATCAACATCTAGCTCACCCTCCAGGTAGAAGTTTCTGGAGGCTGTAAACCACACAGGACACTGTACATCTTTCTTTTTCCCAGGAGCAGCTAATGGATCTGAACCACTAGAGAGGCATCACCTTTGGGATGTTAATGTTGTGTATTGCTGAACTGGAACTTACCCATAGCTGACCCTGCAGCAGGTTTTCAGAGGCAGTAAACTGCACGGGAGGAGACTGCTGGTTTTTCTTTTTTTTTCCCTGGAGAGCAACCAGTGGATTCAAACCACGTGCCTTTGAGTTGGCGGGCAGCTCCTCACCACTAGGCCACCAGAGCTCCCTTTGGGTTGACAGCCCAATTCCCTATGGATAATGCCACCAGAGCGCGCTCAACAAAGATGAGTAGTTGGAAAACAAGGCCTTGCTGAGAGAAACAATGATAGAACTTTACGAGGGAAACAAACTATGCATTGGAAATATTTTTCTACATAAAGCGAGACTTTACAAATGGAGCTGAGATGGAAGACACAGGAACCAGACTGACTACATCTGCAGAGAGATGATAAAGCAGCTCAATATCATCTGTCAGAACAAGGTCAGGGGCTATTTGAAAAACAGATCACCAATTGCTCATATTCAAGTTCAAGTTGAAGCCAAAGAAAATTAAAACAAGCCCATGAGAGCCAAATTATCAATCAAGTGTATGACATTGAATTTAGATTATCTTACGAACAAATTTTACATAGTGAATAAATACCATGATCAAACATGGCATGAGGTGACACCAAGGACATCAAATATGAAGACTGTAAAAATCACTAAAAAAGACAGGAAAGACCCAACCAGATGTCAGAAAAGACTCTGAGACTTGCTCTTGATTGTAGAGCTGTTGTTAAGTACTGTCAAGTCAGAAATGACTCACTGCTGACCCTCCAGCGTGTTTTCAGAGGCAGTAAATCATACAGGAGGAGACTGTGTGTGTACACACACACACACACACACACACACACAGGACAAATGTCAACCAGGAGGTGGAAAAGTGAGAACTCTCACACACTGCCAGTGGAATGGAAAATGACACAGTCACTTTCGAAAAACTGAACAGTTTCTTAAAAAGTTAAACAAGATTTTGTCATACAATCTAACAATTCCACTCCTGGTTACACATTCAAGGAAAAGAAAATATACATTGACATAAGCCTCTGTACATGAGTACATAGTAGCATTATTTCTAAAAGCTAAAAGGCAGGAACAACTCAGTGGCCATTAACTGATATTGGCAATAAAAAGGAACAAAGTACTGATCATGTTAGCAGATGAACCTCAAAAATATTATCTTAAATAAAAGAGGCCGAACACAAACAGCCATGTATTATTCTGTTTGCACAAATTATCCAGGAAAGGCCAATCTATAGTGCCAGAAAGCAGACTGGTATTTAAGATTAGTATAGTGGTTACTTGGGGTTACAGACAGAAACAAGGGGACATGAGGCATCTTTTTAGAATGCTAGAAATCCTCTATATTTAGATTTTGGTAAAGACTGAACAACTTTGTAAATTGTGTAAAAATTATTGAATATCTAAGACTGGTGGATTAACAATAGGCAGATTATAGCAAAATAACTTTTTTAAAGAATGAAATGATGATGAATGAAAAACAGCCAACATGAAAGAGCTCAACTGTCTGTCTCTACTTATTTGAAACATCATAGAAAGTAAACTGACCAAAGCTGGGTGTAGGAACTAGAATGAACTAAAAATATAAAAGATATAAACAGGTAATGCTCTGGAACTCTGGTTAAAGGGTTCAGCTGCTAACCAAAAGGTCAGCAGTTCAAAGCCACTCTGCAAGAAAAAGATGAGGCTGTCCGATTCCGATTCCAAGAAGATTTAGCGCTTTGGAAACTCTATGGGCAGCACGGGACAGCGAAGAGTCAAGACTGACTATGCTGTGGGTCTCACTGAAGTGGTAAAAACAGATTTAAAGGAAATGAATTTTAAAATTAATGATTATTTAATCATATCTCAATAAAGAATTGTTTTAATAAGGGGATCAAATCACACTGGCGTGTTTAACCTTTTATGAGTCTAAGATGAAGAGAAAGCCCTGCTTCGCCTGGACTGATAAGGCAATCCCAGGTCCACTTACACACACAGTCAGTTTGAAGGCACCAAACTTGTACATCATTAAACCTCCACAGTACTCACAACTCTGAAACTCTATACTGTCTAACAAACGACCACAACTAGAAAGATGTACAAACTACAAAAAGAAAATACCTTCCTCTCCTGAGACAAAGCAGGGATTCCCTTTCCCTACTCTAACCCCTTCATTTCTGCTATCTCTCACTTAAACCCTTTCTTCAATATAATACGCCTCGTACTGACTCCCAAAAAAGTCACACCAATGGAGTTCTGGCGGTCTAGTGGCAAGAAGCTGCACTCCAATCCCGAAGGCACGCAGTTCGAATCCACCAGATGCTCCGCTGGAGAAGGAGGGACAATCTTCTCCTCCTGTGCCAGTTGGATCCGATTTGACAGTAAGTAACAAAAATAATTTTTTTTTCTAAAAAAAAGTCACACAAGTACAGGTCAAAGATCCAGCACGCAGCAAGCACACAGGCCCATGAAGAAGCTTCAGAAACAGACAAAAAGAACTCTTTCAGGGAAAACAGTGGTTATTTGTTTCAACACAAAGACAAAGCTTAAAAAAATATATAGAAACTTTTTTTAAAAATTTTTTTTTAAAAATTCCCTAAAACAGACACAACGCAGTTCACAGTCAGGCCCACACTTAGGGCCCCCATGGCAGTGAGGCATTCTTAATTCTTCCTCCAACACACTGGGATCTGCTCACATCAGATGGCTTCTGTCTCTGGTTTCTAAGGACACAAGGTTATTACTGATCAGTACTCCCTCTTCCCTAACTCCCCTGCTCACTCACTATCTTCTCCAAGGAGGAATATAATCCTTTTTTATGAGGGTTGTTGTGCTCTGCTGAGTCAGAACCAACCCATAGCTGACCATTCAGGGGGTTTTAAGAGGCAGTAAGTTGAAGGTGAGGAGCCTGAATGCCACCGGTGGATTCGAACCGCTGGGCTTCGGGGAATGCAGCACAGCTTCTTACCACTAGGCCACCGGAGTTCCCTAAGCTTTATTCCTGCCCTCCTCAGACACACCAGCCAGATGGATCATATCCAGTCATCCTCCTGTCTGAAGTATAATCCCAAAATCCTTCTTTAGGCAGAGAATCCCTAAAATCTGGCCCCTTTCTTACCTCTGCATCCCTTCGTACCGGCCCTAACACACATCAAGGGGCTATGGTAGCGCAGTGGCAGGAAGGTGCAGTGCCAACCCAAAGGTCAGCGGTTCTAATCCCCCCTTGGCTACTCGGGAGAAAGATAGGCGATTGCATCCCTTGGGGTTCACACAGCAAAACCTCCTGAAGGGGCAGCAACAAATCTGTTCCGACTGGATGGTGATGAGTGAAAACAAAGTGAGAGAAAAAGGAAAAAAAAAATACACGGGGGTAAAAAATCTTCCCCAGCCCATCTTCATCGGTCCAGGCTCCCTTTAAATGCCACCGACTGGCCAACAGGTCTTGGAAAGCACCCCTTCCTCTCCCGCGCCCCAGCCCTGGCCAGCAGCTGCGATTCTCTCACTTGTTCAGTTACTTTCCAGGCTAGACTAAGTTGTGTCTACGCGGTCGGGGCGGTTCTGCGCCGCCGATGGAGAGGCCACCCGGCCAGGAAGGGGCCACACGGCCAGGAGGGGCCACCCTGCCAGGAGCTGGACCTCCAAGGGTCTGCAGAGGGGCAGGAGCGAGCCCTAACACGGCCTCTCAGCACTGCACGTGCCGATCACCGCGCAGGCACCTCCGACCCCATCCCTCGCACCCCTCCAACGGGCCTGTCCCACACGCGCGATCGTCTTTCTCCCTAAGACGCACCAGGTCCGAGATCTGTCACGCACGAGCCTCCCCCGGGCGCCTCGATCGCACGCCCCCCGGTCCCTGCCCCGTGCGCCTCGCGCGCCCCCGGCCGCACGAGCGCACACAGCCCCGCGTGCCACCCCCCGAGCGGCGCCGGCGCTCACCTATCACCTCCTGCAGCTCGTAATCGTCCCTGTTGATGGACCAGGGCAGGGCGCTCGCGTCCTCGGACATGACGGCGGCAAAGTCGCTGACCTCTCGGGAATCTCCGCGCCGCGCCTCTCCCCACCCCCAACCGCCGCCGCCGCCGCGCCCCCACCAAGCGCCTCGCCAACAGCCTCGGGTCAGACGGAGCCCGGCTGGGGGTCACCGCGCGGCACGGCGGCGGCGGCGCGAAGCTCCGGCCGACGTCGCCACTGGCTCGTCGGCGTCCGGCAACTCTCCGCTCCGCTCCCGGCTCTTGCTCCCGGCCTCGGCCTCCGCGGCAGCCACCACAAGACCCGGCTCCGGGCCCAACCCCTCCGTCCCGCCCTCTGCCCGAGCCCCACGCACGAGCCAAACTTTCCCTTCTCCCTCCACCTGCCGGCACGCAGCGCGCTGGCGTCATCACGCCGGCCACGCCCCCGCCCGCGGAGGGGCCTCTGCCGCCATCTTGAGTGTGGCTCACTGCCGCTCACCATCGGTGAGCGAGCAAAAGCGCCTTCCGAGAGAAGGTAGAAGGTGCTGGAGGAAGGGAAGACGTTGTTAAGAAGGCATTAATCTGGGACTGAGAAAAGTCACAAAAGCGCTTAGCTTCGCACAGAAGCAACAGCCACACTAAACATGGAGGCCTAAGGGCGACCAAGAGGAGAGGGGAGGAGCCACTTTAGCGGTTGGAGCGCCTTGCCGTTTCTGTGGCCGTATTCATTGGCTCGTTTGAGACGGAATCAGAAAGGCGATAGGTGAATGTGAACGTCAGTCGGAAGTGAGTCCCGCCTCTCGGCTCTAGGCGCGCCGCGCTCGATCGCCTTTCGCCCTATCGTGATCGTCGGTGACGTCACGACGCAGCCTGCGCTCAGGACGTGGGAGGGGCTCCGTAGGGTGTGGAGAGGCTGGACGGAGGATCGGGGTGGGAGAGCTCTGGGCGTGGACAGCTGCCCGTTAGGGTGAAAGGCTGTGGTCCGCGGGGCCGGCTGGGACCGGAGGCTTCCCCCGGGACAGTCTTTTTTTCCAGGCGGAAGTCCTCTTTGCAGCGCCCGATGCGGTGCTCCCAGGAATCCTATTGAGTGGGAAGACAGTTCTGGCCATTTTCAGCTTTGGGTTTGGGGCTCAAACGATCACTTGCCTTGGAGGTGGTGAAAAGTTTTGCTTTGTTTCATTTTCTTTAGTAGAGATCGGATTAGGCCTCTAGTTTGGGCTGCTCTTTTGTATCAGGTTGACTTTCTGGGACCTTTGAAAAAAACAGCTGAGCTGAAGACTGAGCAGGGTTATTAAACTGGAGAAAAGAAAACATCAACGTGCATAAGGCTGCTGTTAGATCCCATGTAGTCAGAACCAACTCATAGCAGACCCTCCAATCCCATAGGAAATTGCCCATCTTTTTCCCAAGGAGCAGCTGGTGGACTCGAACCACGTGTCTTTTGTGTGAGAGCGCAGCTTCTTAGCAGAGCTGCTCGGGCGTGGTTAGCCATTCGTTGTGGATGAGACCTTATCCAGGCACTGCGATGTTGTGCTGAACTTGGCTGTAGAAGTTCCACCAAACCTAGAAACCGAGTGCAGTCGACAGAAGTGATAGGAATGGAGATGTGTGTGTGTGTGTGTGTTTGCAGGAATTAGAAAACATTTCATGGACAAGTTGCCATTTGTATCAGGTTTTGCAAATTTAAGATTACCATTCAGAAATACTCCTATCAGAGTGAAGGTACCACTTCCCAAGCTTGCAAGCTTCCTATATAGTTGTTTTTATAACTATCCAGTCAGATGAGACTTAACTGCGACCCTGTGGATACTGATTGACCCCTGCCCTATCCTGAGCCAACATCACTGTCTTTGACACACTTGATTTCATTGCCACAGTCAGGTGAACCCATCTATCCTGCCCTGTCCCTCTACCCTTCCAAGCATGATGTCCTCCAAGGACCAGTCCCTCCTTGCAACATGTCCAAAGTATGTGAGAGAGAGCTTCAAAATCCTTGCCTTTAAGGAGCAGCATAGTTTCACCCTCTGCAAGACAGACCTGTTTGTTCTCTCAGACATTATGGTTAATCATTTTCTTGAGGTGTTTGCGCTTGTGTGTAGATTTCCAAAGTTACTTTTTAAATTTTTTGATGTTACATCCAGAATGGTATGTTCTTCAGGGACAGATTTCAAGCACCTCGCTGCTTTCCTTTTCCTCAGTGATAACGGCAATAATTCAAGGTGTTCACAGGCCCACTTACTGCTGCTCAAGGGTCACTGAAATTAATGGCTCTTTTCACCTATTCTTACTCTCTTTGACCTCCTTCATGCACATAGTTTGATGCAAAACCTATACTGTTATTTCCTTGCTCTTGGAATTTCGACATGTGTTCTAATAGAGTCTTAACACATATTTAAATGAGCAAGAAATTGGTGGTTTGAAGCCAGAGGCCTTGACCTCAATTTCTTTCCCATGTTATGGAATATTTTTCTTTTCTTTTTTGTGAGAAAAATTTGTATTTAGAATTAGCTGGCTGGATTCAATATAGATGATCCCAATTTTGTTGGCAACATCCAAAGCATCATAGTCAGGAGCAAATCAAACAAAGGCCTTCTTCTCTCCATCAGGCCTAATCACAGTGCTGACCTTGGCCACATCAATGTCATGGAGCTTCTTTACAGCTGGTTTAATCTGGTGCTTGTTGGCCTTGACATCCACAGTGAACACAAGTGTGTTCTTATCTTCTATCTTCATCATGGCTGACTCAGTGGTCAGGGGAAACTTGATGATGGCATAGTGGTCAAGCTTGTTTCTCCTGGGGGCGCTCTCCCCAGGGGTATTTGGGCTGCCTTCGGAGTCTCAGCGTCTTAGACCACTGGAAGGTGGGTGACGTGCGGATCTTCATTTCTTTGTGGCTGTGGATGCCCTTCAGGACGCCTTCTTGGCCTTGAATACATTTGCTTTGGCTTCAGTTTTGGGAGGGACAGGGCCTTCCTCCTTCACCTTCAGCACCACTTTCTTAAAAAGGGTGGAATACCTTTCATGTAAGACTACTCCCTTAAATACTGGATGAACAAATTTCATTCCTGCTTTCATGAAACCTACAGTCTAGTAGAAAAAGTGTAAACAACTAAGCAATAATAATAACATCTGTGTATCATGGAAGAAAATGTAGGAGTTTGGAGAGTGTGAGAGAAGCAGCCATACATAATATTTTTAACAGGATCCAGAGGAACTTGGGAACCTTTGAAACTATTAATAAAATAACACTTTTATTAGTTGGATGTCTATTCCATCATTAATCTTTAAAGATCTGGTAAAAGTGAAAGAGTTTTGGTGATCCTGAGACTCAAGTTCTAATAATAAAATTTTACCGATTCCTACCTTCCCTTCTTGAATCTATAGCCCAACACTCTCCCAAAGCCCCATCCCCACCCCAGGAGGGGGACCTTGTTCTTTCTCCCATTCCCAGAAGAGTACTCCTCTTGCCTTGGGCTCCGCCTGAAAGCAGAGATGGAGAAGAAGACTTGGGTGTGAACTGTTTACTTAAGGGATGACCCCAGGCACTCAGGAGGAATAAGGAAACAGAAAAGTTACCAAAGAGTCTGTGTATGAGGCATTGTTGGGCCACTGGTCTCAATCTTGCAAGAAATCTACTCAAAATGATCTAAAGCACACAATAGAGTATTTTGCAACATTCAAAAAGAATTCACGAAACACTGCCTGACATAGATGCATCTAGAAGATGTTACCCTAAGTGAGGCCAGTCAGTTACAAAAGAAACCACTGTCATAAAAAACTAAGGAAAGGTTTACACAAGGCAAGATTGATTCTTGAATGGTTACCAGGCATGGGAGAGGAGGGGAAAGGGAATTAAAATTAGTAAATGGATTAAAAGGCTCATCTTTTTTTTATTTACAAAATTAATTTCCTCATCATTCTTATTTGATTATACACATCAATTTGCGGTAAAATAATTAAAAAAAAACCTTACTATTTTGAGGGTTACTTGAAAGAAAATTAGTTCTTCTTTAAAATACAAATATTAATATATTTTCAGTGTCCTTTATTTTCTGCAATAAAGCAGGATTTTGTTTACAGTCAACTTTTTTTAAAAAATTTTATTATTTTTGTGTGAGTGTACCGTCAAATTAGATCTGACTGGTACAGGAGGAGATTGCCCCTCCTTCCCCAGCAGAGCATCTGGTGGATTCGAACCGTGCACCTCTGGGATTGTAGTTGCAGCTCCTTACCACTAGGCAACCAGAGCTCCCCTACAGTCAACTTTTTAATTGACATTTGAGTGAATGATACGATGTAGCAACACTCTGGCCTCTCTCTGTGGCTCTTGTTACCTTTCATTTATTCTCTCCTTTACCATTTTGTTGTTGTTGGGTTTTTTTTAAGGTAAGATGTACCTTCTTTTTTTCTGTTTTAAAGACAGTTTATAAAGAACTTGGATTTCCATTCATTCATTGTTGCACATTTTCCTCCCTGCCCGCTCCCCAGTTTGGTTTTTACTTTGGAAAAAAGTTTTTCATAGTTAAACAGTCACCCCCACCACCACCACTTTACTATGCAACTCTTATTCTCGGGCTCTTGTCAAGCCAATAATACCTAATCATATATTCCTTTTACATAGTTCTCTCCTCCATCTTGTTTCAATGCAGTATACATTATTTAGTCTTTTTTCTCAGTCTCCCCAATGCCAGTCCTGTTTTACAACAGTGGCACTATGCAATATTTGTCCTTTTGTGACTGAGATACTTGACTCAGC